TATATATAATATGGGTGTGTGTGTACCAGGTAGACGTGTGAGAAGATATTTCGCACAATCAAACGAATTTGGCAGGGCCTGATCATCGGCATGAAAACCGCGACCTGCGGACGCCCCATGTTGCTCGCCAGATTGATCGTTCGGAGTGAGAGCGAATATGTTGGAAACAGTGGAAATGAGATGGTACCCACGTACGGAGAACCAGGTCTGGAGAGACCAGGAAGACGACGAGAAAAGAGAATCGAAGGATCGCGCATCAAGTGCTCGTCAATACCACAGTGATACCTGTTCCACAATACAATCAGATATAGGGCTGCCAATTGCTCCACTGACCATTTCCAGACATCTTGCAAAAGCGAATCTGCGAAAGCGATCTTAAACATCGGCGAGTCCATCTATGGTGGTGCCAAGCCAGATATACATGGACTGTCACAAACTGGCAAAACGTGATGTTTAGAGATGAATCCCGGTTAATTTTTGGGAGAGATGATAACCACGTACTGATGAGGAGGCCCCTGGTGAACGGTACAATTCGATCCACACTGACGCATGACACACTGCCAGCACAGCAAGTGTAATGGTCTGGTGCGGGTCTTAGCTTATAATAGCCTATCCACACTAATAGTGGTACGAGGAGCCTTAACGGGCCAGCGTTATGTTCATGACATTCTTTCACCCTTCGTGAGACATTCCCTTAATGGTCTTCCAGGGGCAATTTTTGAGCAAGATAATGTTCGTCCGCATACAGCTCGAGTATCTTAAGACTTTCTACGTCATGTTTAGATTCTTCCATGGCCGTCCGCTCCCCGAACTCGTCCCCTATAGAGCAGTTGTGGGACCAGCTAAAACGCCAGATGACGCCAAATAATTTTGCACACGATTTTTGCAGGCGGCTGTTCAAGAATTTTAGCTTCATCTGATTCAGGATAACATCCGACATTTAATTAACTCAATGCCGGGCTGTGTTGTGGCATGTATTGAAGCAGGAGGCGGTCCGATGAGCTATTGAAGTTACATTGTGAATGTCTAATTGCTCTGAATTTGTTTAATTGTCTTGATTTTGGGATCAAGTGAGTCTCTCATATGCATCATTATGTGTATTAATTTTTTTTCATTTCAATCCGAAACTCCCTTCTTGATGTGCTATTTACAATGTTCCTGAGTGTATCAATTTACCGTCTGCAGAAAACAATTCAATAGGAAAAGAATAAATCTATTTACTTTTCCGTAATTTTTATCTACTTTTACATTTTTCAGAAGTGCAGCTTGGATATATGGGGATTTGAGGCTCATTAAATTCATAATAAGTGAGCTGGATAGGAAATTAAACTGTAGGATCAGTAATATAAAAACTTTCCACTGAATGTTAAAATTCACCTAGTTCAAAACCTAATATAAGTCATATATTGGTCATTAGTATATATCATTTTGTAGCTCATTTTAATAACTTTCCAAAAATCCGTAACTTATGAGCAATTTTGAAATATTTTTTAGTTGTTTTTTAAATGCTCCATTAAGGATGTAGTGAGTGCTATTTCTGCTTCACTGCAGTAAAGTAGTTTTTGGAAAAGGAATATGTTTAATCTCTTTTTTTATTTAAAATTTGCACCCCCCCCCCCACACGCACATTGAACGTGATCTAATTTTAGACATCTTTTAAAATATTTTATTCAATCTTTCTTAGCTCGGAAACAGGAAACAAGAATTCGGGAGAATTGTCCTTCTTTTGGAAATAACGTTGATATATGATGTATAGTACATTCTTAATAACATCCAAGACAATCCTTGATAACAAAACTTGTTCATCATGAAAGGCTTCATCAATTACAGCAAATTCTTTCAAGAGAACTAACTATTCTGAAGAGGTGGGGTGGGGAGTAATTCCCTTTTTGGTATGTAAGATAAATCCTGTTACATCGAATTTGTATCGCAGAGGTGAATTCCAGCAACATTCACAAAATCTGAAATAATGGCGTAATTAGTTGTAACCATCAAGGTGAAACTTTCTCAAAAACAGCAATTGATGTAAATGAAGAATCCATCTTATTGCCTTTGTGAAAATGCACTTTTTTTTTATTGAAGGATTGGAGAACGCTGGAATTGCTTCAAGTTCCACGACCATTTTAATGAATTTTAATTCACTAATAAAACAGAATTATTAAAGAAATATTTGAATAATTTTGAAATGTGATAAGTTTGATTTTAAATCCAAACAGTAGCGAAACAGGCAGAAGGAGGCAGTGCTTGAGAAAAAATGATACTTAGGGGGAAAAAACAATTGAATATAACGAAATGATAAGAAAAAGCAGATTTGTTAATTTTCGCCATATCATTTTTGCTATTTTATCATTATTTAATTCTTTGCTATTTTATCATTATTTAATTCTTTGAGATTTGAGTATTTACATGTTATTCTGCTACGAGAGTTCGAGAAGGAAATGAGCGACAAACGATGGGAGATGGGATGAGGACGAAATGTTATCCTCATATCACCTCAAATTACCTCGTTGCAACTCAGAGCCATTTTTCAAAAAACCCCACTTTATATCGATTTTCGTGTATATGTTTTCTTAACTTTTATTTTGGTAAACAATTACATTAACCTTTTAAACAGCTACAAAAACGTCAAGCAGAAATTTTGGAACATTGATAATGAATTTGAAGGAAACTATCGTGTTGTGTCCAGGATGGCCGAATGGTTATGGCATCAGACTTGTTAGTACCCGTTAATACTCTGCTTCATCTGAGCGATCCCGTTAAGCCCTGTTGCGTGTATGCTCTATGTTATAAGAAAGAAAATACAAAAATAAGATTTCGACGTAGGGTAAGTATTAATCCTTTGTCTTTCAGGACCGAAGAAAAATTCGGCAATAGCAATGCCCTTTAGATTCGAGGCAATGTGATGTAATCTAGATGTTTGCGGCGGCAGTCAGGTTCTGTCCTCTGGATTGAAGCATCAAGATATCACTGAGGTGACAAGCTGTCGTATTCTCGGGTAGTGGCTATCTGAGTTTCAGTTGGGGATTGTGCAGGTTCGAATCCTGCTCCTGGGCACGTTTTTTTTAATCATGGAAAACTAATATATTTGCATTTTACCACGTATCATTTTGTAAAATAATTCTTTTATTTAGATATCCAATCTCTTTTATGAATGAATTTATTTTCTCTCTCTCTCTGATTTATTATCAGAGATCCTCAATAATTTAGATAATCAATCTCTCTCTTTTCATATTCTAAAAGCGATTATAGTGTATCTCATGATATATATTTCCTTTATAATAAGAATTTCCTTTATAATGAGGTCAATGAGAGCCGCATCCCAAATTTTCATTTATTATAAAAAGCCGTACATTGAAAATTAAATTCTTAAATTAAAAATTAAATACATTAAATCAAATTTAATTAAATTAAATTATGGTCATACCATTCTACACATTTTTTTTCATTGCTGTGTAAGACATACGTATATAAGAAAATATAATTAAAACGAAAAAATACTTGTTTTTAAAATTTTATTAATTCAAATAAAATATTACAATTAATTATTGTAATATTTAACCAAATATTTTGTACAAATGTTTGAAATTTGTCATCAAATGTGGTAAGATCGATTGATTTGGTTTTATTAATGTCGCACTATAAGCAACACGAGGGCTGTTGGCAACGGAGTAATTTTGAATCTCAGTCAAATGATGAGAACGACACATGAGCTGGTACTCCCTCTGTTAACTTCCCCACTACACCAAAGGGAGGAGTTTGGGCCTCGACAGATTTAACGTGCATCATCCCTTGCTACACGGCGGGTCTTTAGTAGCATCAAAGCTCGAACCCCCGACTCGACGAAAACTGCCAACCGCGAGTTCGCGACCACTAAGCTACCTCAGCAACTTGTTAAGATCGAAAGCAGCAATTATATTAGATAATGATTGGTTAACTGTGAGCTATGAACGATATTTTGATTTCATGAACTGCTTTGTGGAGTTCAAAGTTTCACAGCAATGTTGAATTAAAAATTGAAATCCGTAGGCAAGCGGTTTTCTTTCAAAGTATTTTAACTCTGGTATGAGTTTCCAAAATTCAATAATAGATTGTAATTGTTTATTAATGTCGCACTGAGAAACAACACGTAGGCTATTGGTGATGGATCTCGTAATTTTGAGCCTCATTCAAGTGACGAGAACGACACCTGAGCTAGCACATCCCTCCAAAATCTTCCCCACCACGCTAAAAGCAATATGTGGGACCTCGATTAGATTAAGCATGCATCAGCTCCGTCACACGGCCAGTTTTAATGGTATCAGTTCAATTATAGAAAGAAATTTGGGATATATTTGCATTATCTGATCATCTTTCAACTATAATAACTTTAATTTTCGAGCCGCTTTTTCAACAAATATTATTTCAGAATTTGGAAATCCATCTTAAATAACATTACAAAAAAGACTTTAAAGTATTCATACTTGAATCAAACAAAGGATTGGGTTTATATCTAACGACTTTTTATCAAAATGTGTGAATTTGTATTACTTTGACTTTCATTTAGTGAATAATCAACTTAGAAGTAATGGCTGTGGAACTTAAGGAAAGAGAGATGTTCCAAAAATATTTGCTGTATGTATTGGCTCTTGAAGTCGACCTCTGAAATATTTATTGAATGAGTGGGATTTCCTAGGAAGAGCTGTTGTGCACCTCAAGCGTATCTATAAGATGAAAGAAAATTAGCCCTAACACTTATAAACAACCTCATTTACAGTTTTAAGGCTCGTAAGAGATAGAATCCTCGGAATCATAGAAAAATTGAATTATGAAGATCACAAGTTGCATCAGGTTTTGAACATTTTAAGTCTTAATTGTTCAAGACTAAAAATTTACATCTTGTGTATCTTTTACATTACAATAAGATGTACCATAACATGAGACATCTGCACATCAAATTTCATTGAAATATATAGATTTTCAATTCACCATGCGGATTTTGTGATTAATACTTTAATTTTGGAAACAAATTTCTTATTAGTTTGGTAATCTAGAGTATAATAACATATTTTTCATATAAGGATACTTTATCCAATGAAGTAGATATGATATTAGGAGTGACGTGAGTATTCATTCAAAAGAAAAAGCAATTAATGTCCCTTATTTGCCGCATTTGAATGGAAATAATTTTAGTGTACTGCGAATAAAATCCAGGTGTTCTCATTTTCCAGAAATGTAAGAAAAATTCGAATAACTCTTTTCCTATATTTAGCACAGCCAAGCTATTTTTTTTTTAAAAAAAATCTAAAGACAAGAAAATATCTATGTGTAATTTCGATACTATTTAGCTAAGCTGATAAGAAAATACCATTTTATTATTTCTTAGTACGAGTATTCTCGTATATTTCATATACTAGTATTCTAGTATGATGACTAATTCCCTTGTTTTGATAATTAGTCATCTTTTATAATTGAAGTAATACAAATGCTATTAGCTAGAACTAGATTTTACTCCAAGATTAAAGATTTTTGCATTTATTAATCCATTTTTGGTCACTGTATGGCATTTTCATTTATTAATTATTTTTGTCAACCTATAGCATATTAAATATTTTTAGATATTTTTTTAAGAAACTGAATTGCCTTTTCTTGTTTTATAACAAACATTTTATTCTTTTAGGAAATTTCAAGACTCTTAAAACTGTATTAATCGAGACATGCTTAATAAAATTAAATATATTTCTGTTTATTTTTTTTCCAACAATCCACGTACGAGAACTTTGAGCTTTTTGATACCTTGCAGAGTTAAAGGGAATCGATGCTTTAACGAAGGTCTATCATTACTAATTATTTTGAATACTTTGAAAAATAATTCTAAGATCATTTTAATTTTTTGTCATGTTTCAAATTCTTTAAGGTATATGATGGGTAATTTTTTTCATTATTGGGTCATTGTTGGAAAACAACTAAAATTTTCATGTATAGTAATTCCAATGCTTCAAAATATCGGTATTCAAATCCCTCTTTTGTATCATTAATAGATTTCTCGTTATTAAAAAACGCTGACTAATCGAAGAGTTCATATAAACACTTTTTTTTTATTCTATAATCAAAGAGACCTTTAACAGGCCTACTTGAAATGTTTAGAGTACGGTTGTCATGACACAGAACATTAAAACAAAGAAAGCATGATAACAGACTGACGGATAATAAAAATCGAAGGTTTTGATTTTGAAATAACATTGAAATAAAATTTTTTTCTTCTCTTTTTTTTTTTTTTACTATTATTTGCGATTGTTTATTATACTATGCAGTTCCAGACGACACAACCACTCTGTTTCGTAATGTTTATAGATATATTCTCAACATAAATTTTTTGAGTAAGTTTCAGAATAAGTTTCACAATTGTTCTCGAGTATATTTTTTTCGAGATCCTACAAATGTTTTCAAACTTTTAAAAATGTCAAGCCTTTACACTTCAAACTTTTTAAGAATTTGTTAACAGTTTTTTTACAGTTGCGTATATGACAGTCATAAAATTTATTTAGTTAAAAAAAACAAAAGTGATCTGGTGGATATAATGAATTTCCATGCACATGATACGAAGCTGATAAATAATTATTTTTTCCTTTTAATAATTAATATATCATGTAGCATTTTCAGACATTACAGTTTCGAATAGAATACTTACCAAGGATTATATATGAGGAAAGTGCGTTTAAAATTTTTTTTTAAGAAAATGAAATGAAATCAACATGATTGCTAATGATACTAAAGCACTTACAAATTTATTTTATTTACATTAATAATTTTATCATTTGATACAAATAATTATATCAAATGACTATTGTAATATAATAAGCAAGCATTATCTTGCAGAATTAATGTTATGAGAAATATTTAAAAATTGTATTAAATGATTGATAAAATATAAACAAAATATTTTCAAACTTTGTCAAACAAGTTTTTTTTTTGTTGAGAAAGAATGATTTTCGACCTTTTTATAAGTTTTTTTTGTCTTTCATAAAAATCTCGTTTTATTGTCACATACGTTATGGGGCGTATGTAGATCATTTTTTGCTATAAAACAGTATTATCAAATATCAGTGTAATAGTCAAACTTAATCTGTTAGCAGCTGGAACAGAAGAAAAAAAAATGCTCTTAATATTTTTAATAGAAGTAAGGAAAAGAGGGGCAACATTTTTCTGACACTTAACATAATTTATTAATTTATTGTAGCAATAAAATGTTCTCCCTCAAATGATTCTGAATCTGTTAGATCACATGATTACATATTATTCATATGTATTTCTCTCCTGATATTTAAGATTTATAAAAGAGTAATTTTTTCATCTGTTCAATTGTTACTTTTTATTATATTATCACTCACTCACAATAATTGTCCATAAATATTTGTAGGTTAAATAATTAACTATCATCAATTCTGTTTCTTTTTTTTATACTTTCTTTTAAAACTCAAATTTCCTACTTCCTTCCTTATTTCAGTTTTTAGAATAAAATATAAATGTTTTGATCATGCTTGAGTAAATCATAAATATTTTAGTGACACTTTCATAAAATGGAAAAAAAAAATGTTTGTGGGAAAAGAGCAATGAGATTCGATACAGATCCTAAGAACTAAGGCAATGACTCGATCAGAACTTTTACGACTGAGTTCTGAGATTGGTCTTAAGCTCAAATTTGATCATTATCTCTCTCCCTAGGTTACTGAAATTATGTAGCGATACATTTGTATTTGTGTAAATGAAATCATTATAAACTTAAAAGAAAAACAAGAGGCATATTACAACTTATTTTCACATTTAGTATATTTTTAACTTAATAAATCTGTTACCCAGAATACTCGTAAAACAAAAAAATTTTAGAATTAAAGAACTAGAAACGGTAAGAATATGTCTTAACTCTAAAATGGAGAGGCTGGTGTAAAAGTACTACAGATGCATTGTTTATAATGTGAATGAGAACCTACCAATCACAAATGATTGTCCTCCCCTCTGACATCCTACCTACTCGTCCCGAATGTACAAGTCCACCGGAGTAGGCTCACTTTATAGT